TAGCCGAACTACGTTGACTCTGACTTTCCCATTGCACGAGGGAATACGTAGGCACAGAGCGGCGATGCTTTGCCGAGTCTCTTTTCTTTTCTTTTTGTCCTGTGAGCCTGTAGCTAGATAGTTAAACACACCTTTAGATAGACAACAAGCGTGGATCCCGTCGAGTACGACGGACGTGAGGGGTGCTCATACCTTCCCCTTGTGTAACCGACTCCCGAACCCAAGACTTGGTTGCGATGACCTTGTCTTTTCCCATTTTCGTTAGGTTTTTCCGATCGTTTCCTTTCCCTCTCTTCGGGATAAATAACGAAAGGTGGCGACTCTTCTGTTTTCTGCCGGGTGTTTTTCGCAGTAGCGACACTCATAACATGGATCAAACTGAACAGATGCAGATGTTTATGTATGGTCTCAAGATGAAGACTAAGCAACTAATTGATATGGCAGCTTGTGTCTCATCAAACTTTACAACAGCCATTGGTATAAATAAGATCGTTGAAGTCGTTGCTGCAAATGAGCATTTGGAATTATATGACCGTAGTGTGAGTAAACCTGAAGGAACAATTGACTTGAAGTTAGCTAATCAAGTTGTGAAAATGGAAGATTAAATTACAGCTGAAGTAGAAAGAAGGCTTAAAGCGATGAATGTAAGTACTCAGGTTGTTGCTCAAGTTCAACCTGTCCATGTTTTGAGTTGTGAGATTTGTAGTGGACCTCATTTTACTGCACATTGTGTTGCGACTGCTAAACAAATTGAAGAGATAAAGTATCTGAAGCTGAATAATCCCTATTCTCAGACTTATAATCTAGGGTGGAAGAATCATCCTAACTTCTCCTGGAAAGATCATAACTAACCTCAATATTAACAGCACCAACAGGCTCCCGAGAAAGCAAAATGGGAAATAACTATTGAAAAGATGGGAGCTCACAATATTTAATTCCAAGAAGAGGCATGGAATAATCAGAGGAACACCGCAGCTTCTATAAAAAAATCTTGAGGTTCAGATGAGACAAATAGCATAAAAACTCTCCATGCAACCTCAAGGAACCTTCCCGAGCACGACAGTACTGAATCCAAAAAATCATGAGAATGTTAATGTTGTCACAACAAGAAGTCGGGGAGTCATGGAAGAAGAGGAAGAAAGAGAAACAAATGATTATCAGTGTATAGAGGTTGAGCTTGAAGTAACAGAAAACAGGAAAGAACCGGAAATAGCCTTACCACCTGTGAAGTCAACTGAAGAGAAAAAGAAAGAGGAGGTTAAATCAAAAATCAAGCTACCTTACCCTCCAAAAGTTACAAAGAAGGATTAGAAGGAGGAAGACTTTGAAAAATTCAACACAATGTTCAAAAAGTTAGAGATTAACATGTCGTTCTTTGGAGCACTCGAGCAAATTTCTTTGTACAAGAAATTCATGAAAGAGGTAATGGGGAAAAAGAGAACAATGGGTGAGGAGTAAAACATTTCAACTGATCAGTGTAGTGAAATATCACAAGGAAGGAGAATCCCTATCAAGCGGAATGACCCTGGACCTGTAACAATCCCTTGTACTATAAAAGATAGAACTTTTAAGAAGGTCCTTATTGATTTAGGTGCTAGTGTGAGTCTCATGCCTTTATCTATTTTCAAAAAGCTGGTATTGGAAAAGTGAGCGATACGGGAACAAACTTGAAGTTTGCCGACCACACGACTAAGAGGTCATATGGGCTAGCAGAGGATGTACTGGTGACAATTGATAACTTTACCTTTCCAGTTGATTTTGAGATTTTGGATATCCCAGAAGATGAAGAGACTCCCATCATACTTGGCCAACCATTCTTGCTTACTAGTCGGTGCAATGTTGATATTGAAATAGGTACTCTAACCTTGAAATCTTTTGATGAGGAAATAACTTTAAAAGTGTTGGACATCAAGAAGCGAGGTAAAGAGGAAAATAATCAACCTTCAGTTGGAATGATCAAAATAGTGGAAAAAGGCAAAAGTTCAAAACCACTTCCTGAAAAAGTCTCTGGTGTAATCTATCATGATGCAATATCTCAGTCATCTACGACACATAGCAGACTCCAAAATTCATTCAAAGAGTCAAGAATAGAAAAGTTGAATGTGATTTGATACACAAAGTTGCTCTTATCTCTGATCCTGAACGGTCCTCTGTTGCGGAAAGGTCAAGCAACAGAGTGTGGAAGCTGAAATACCCCCATAACAATGGGGAGAGAACCATCGAGCCATGCGACGTTAAATGAAGCGCTACGTGGGAGGCAACCCACGTTTTTAATGATTGAGAATTTTATTTTTGTTGTTATTTTGTTTCATTTGCAGGTAATAAAAGAGACCTTACAGGTGCAAGCTAGAATGTAGCAAATAGGTGTTGCATTACCCTCCGACTCCTCAGTAAGGATCTCTGTGAGTTACGTCTCTTCCTCTCTTGTTCTAAAACATTGAGGCCAATGTTTAGTTCAAGTTTAGGGAAGGATTTACTGTTTTGAGTTTCGTTTTAAGTACTTTTAAATTGTGTTTATATGCTTTTGTTTAAAAATCGCTTTGAACTCTCCCCGAATGAGGACCGTAAAATATTTTCTTGTGAATATTGTGATGGTTCGAATGAGGTAGTCAAGAAAGTATATAGAGTTTGAGAAACATTTTATGTTTTATGTGCTTCCTTAAGTTACACTTGAGGGACTCGCCTATTGGGCGCTTGAGAGACTTGCCTCAAAGCACCATGCTTAAGGGACTGTAAACATAGATAAGTTTTATTGGCCTAAAAAGGGATTATCCAGGATAAAACTGTCTTAATTAAGTGTAGTGATGTTGGGTGAGCGCCCAAAGTAGAATTGGATGCCCGTAACGCACTTCAAGTCGCTCAATTGAGCTTAGATTCCCCCCTTCAAATTGAAATCCAGGATCCATCTCATTTAACACACGTAGCATATAAGTTGTGCAAGAAGTGATTGTTTGGAGATAGTACTCAAAGGAAGAAAATTGTCTCCCCCATAGTTTGAGGAAGAATCAGTCTTCCTCCATTCCCACATTTATGACTAGCAAACTAGGAAATGGATCTTTTATAAGACACATATAGTCTCTTGCAATCCCTACGTGAGGAGTCTCTCTCTCTCTCTCTCTCTCTCTCTCTCTCTCTCTCTCTCTCTCTCTCTCTCTCTATATATATATATATATATATATATATATATATATATATATATATATATATATATATATATATATATATATATATATATATATATATATATATATATATATATATATATATATATATATATATATATATATATATATATATATATATATATATATATATATATATATATATATATATATATATCTATCTATCTATCTATCTATTTATCTATCTATCTATCTATCTATCTACTGAATTTAAATCCACTAAATTTAAAATATATTGGATGGAATGAATTTATCCATGTTTTTAATTGGATAGATTTCATCCAATCCATTAATTAACTTTTCATATAATGGATAAATTAGATAGATTTTTTAATGGATGAATTAGATGAATTTTTGAATAGATAGATTGGATGAATAATTATTTAATAGATTTAATTGTCAGTCCTGTTATAGATTAGGGGTGGCAAAATAGATCAGACCCGCCGGGTCGGCCCGTTTGACCGTCATTTTTAGCGTGTTGGGCTGAGATTTTTAGCTCGGTATTATAAGTTGGCCCACCCCGCTTAACCTGCTTGAAAAAACGGGTCAAGGCGAGGCGGAGCGGAATTTGCCCACGAACTTTTTGTTAAAACTTTTTATTATTCTACTTAGAATTAAAACAACTTTAACTATGAAAACAACATTTTTCTTTTGGGTTTATTTTGTTTTTTTTTGTTGTAATTGGTCTTTATTTATGTTATGTTTTGAGCTGTTTAGATTTATGACATGTTAAACTTCTATTATGCGTTATTAAAAAAATCTTTTGTCGATCTCTTGGGTAATAAATAATTTTTTTTTGTAAGTTATATAGTAAATTAAATTGTAAAATAAAAATTATCGGATCGTTCTGTCAATCCACCAACTCGTTAATAAACGGGGAGGACTTGACTTTTAAGTTCGAACATCTAAGTTGGTCCGTCCCACTTTTAAACGGGTCTAAACGGAACGGGCTGCCCACTTTAACACCCCTACTATAGATATATATACTGTATCATTTGCATAAAATTGTAATTTTTTATATTTACTCTTATTTGTATTATATTTTTAACGAGGTGAATGTTTTTATTTTTATTTTTATTTTACTTTTTATGTCTACATGGTTGTATTTTTGTGGTTTTGAAATTTGACTCTTTAGAAAACACTTTAGCTACAAATAAGCAAGCATATGATTGTTGTTTGTTGTGCAAAATTCAGGAATAAAAATAATTATTTTTATAACCCCTATCAATAATCAATTATGATTTTATATTATTGTAATTTCAATTCTTTTTGTAACTTTGAGGTGAATTTTTCTCAAATTAAATTTTTTTTATTTAATTGACTATTTAAAAGAAAATATTGTCCTTTTAAAAATATTAGCAAATTTTAAAAGAATATACAGTTCTAAATAATCTCGCAAATTAAAGTCCGTGGAGTTACGGATAGGATGGTTAACTATTTTTTTAAATTATAAATATTGATTATATTTTTTGACTTATAGGTAAATGAGTAATATTTACAAAACTTTCATTTATAGAAGCTACCTAAAATTCATTTATTCCAAAAGAAGCTATCCATATCTTAATAATCTAGAAGCAAGATCGCTTATTTCCAAAAACACGTAATCGAGACCAATGTACAAATTCAAAGAACTAATTTATTCATTTACAGCTGTCAACTTTTAACTAAATAAACAATACAATTAAGCAAATTTTCAAATAATCTCCGGCATGCCTTATTTTCCTATATTATAAATTAATCTTTTTAGCATCAAAAAGAAATTAAATTAGTAAATAAAATTCCAATATTCCAATTTTACAAAGTTGCGTGCATCATCCATTAATGTTCCCCGTAAGGTTCATCCGAAATAATAACAGCATCCGCATCCCACCAGATACTATCCGCGTCAGATTCTGTTACGTTTCCTAACGGAATACTGACTTTCCTCATATCACCAACCGTCAAACGTTGATGTCCGTCATCTCTCACGTAAACCTTCTGAACGCCGCCAGATTCGACGCGAACTGTGTTCCCCACCGTGGGCCCCCACTCAGCTACAACAGAAGGCTTCCGTCGACGGAGGCGCGTGTCCCAAATTTCAACGGCGAGATTACCACGCGCGCCTTCACCTGCGGATACAACTACTGCTGGTGAATCCACGTGAGTTGAAAGCGCGTTTTGGTTGCTTACGCAGTCGTTTGAGGAAATAACTCCGTCCTCGTATTCATCGAAATCTAAACCTAAACCGAATCCTATACTATCCCAAAGCTTAACAACGCTTTCACTGTTAGCTAATTCGAAAAGGGAAAAAATGTCTCCAATACTGCGTTGTCGCTGATGTCCACCGTTTTGGGTCTGGAACTCGTTGTTTATACTGCTTCCGCTGATTCTAAAAAAATCGTTGAAACTTGAGGTAGATGATACAGATGGCTCCTCGTCTTCAAAGTCCGATGACGAAGACAAGCTAACGATGTCGTCGTCGTCGGAGCTGAAATCATCGTCGAAAGCAATTGACGGAAGGGATGAAGCTTTTTTACGGAGATGGATGATGAATATGGTAAGTTTGTTAATGATGCTGCCGAAGGTTGCGACTAAAGCGAGAATGACAGCGCCCCATTTGCAGAAATTGAAAGCTATGGAAACTGATTGGAAGGAGGTGGTTGCGATTTGAGAAGGGAAAGATGGGTTTTGCAATGAGTTGAAACCCGCTTGGAAATCGCCGAATCTGTCGATTAAGGGAACTTGCATGTTTGGGGTTTTGAGAAGAAGAGAGAAAGGGTTTGGAAAATTGAGAAGATGAGAGAGAGAGAGAGATTGGAAAAGGGAAGGAGAAAAACTGGAGGGGATAGTGACTTATATGCGAAAAGGAGACAATAATATTAAAATGTAAAAAATGTGAGAAATGTCAAAGTTTTCTTTTTCTTTTTTCTTTTCTTTTTTCTTATAAACAAAAAACAATATCAGCACGGAAATATTCTTCTCCCTAATATTCATCGTACCTAATTTTTATATTTTTATGAATATTAAAATTATAATTTATTTTAAGTTTAATTATAATTTTGATCCACTTAATTTATTTTTATTTAATTTATGAAATCAAACTCATATTTGTAATTAAAGAATTCTGACCATCTTTCATACTTTGCATTTAAAATTAATGATATTTTTATTCTTTAAATGATAATTTACTTATAAAACATGACTAATTTTCGTATATAAATATATTGTTGAATTTTATAAATAAAAACAAACTAAAATAAATATTTCGTCGATTTTTTATAAAAAAATATGAGAGAGATTAAAATTATTTGAATTTAAAATAAAGAAACAAACATTATTTGAATTTAAATTAAGAAAATAAAATTCATAATTTAGGTAAATTTAGGGACTAAAACTGAAATTTAATTTTTATTTTATAAATTCCATTTTTATTATATGTGTGAAAAAATAAAATAAAATGATTTTAAAAAATGATAAAACTTTGAAGATATAATATGAAAATAACATTAACTCATATGTATTATACAATAATTTATAATTTTATATGATTAGTTTTTAAAGTAACATTTAATAAAATAATAAATAATATTTGTAAGCTTTGTAGTTTTGGATTGACAGAAATTTTGTTAAAACAATTTTAAGTAAGATGTTGAGACAAATGTCGTGAGAAGTTAGTCTGACAACATGATTAGCATGATATTGGGACATGTGGTCAGAACATATGAGGGACATTTTAGGAACTTTTATCTTGACAAATTTGCTTGTATTTCATAAAAAGGATCTTGGAGTCTTTTTAGAAAACTTTCTATTCAGTTCCTATTTATGTGCAGGAGATTTGAAGTTGATGATTTGTGATTTGCGTTTTATTTGAATTGAAAAGCCCAAGTCCGTGCTGATCTGAAGGCTATTTAAAGAGGAGTTCTAAACCTAATGAAGCAGAGAAGCCTGTATTGAAAGAAAGAGTTTTAGGGTTTAAAGAGTTTTGTTATTTGTAATCCTCTCTTATGTCTTTTGACATCTGAGTTGGACTGTGTTGTTTGTGCATTTGTGAGTCATTCATGTACTCCTTAGGTACTAGAATTGGACTGAGTTTTGAGTTGTAATTGTGAATTCACTAATACGCTTTTAAGCAAAGAGTGGATTTTGTGTCTTTGAAGTGTGACTTCTTTTTGTTCTCTATTGTTGAGTTTTTCACTGTTGTGTGACTTGTGGGAAGTGAGAGGGGTCTCATATATAGGAGTTCTTAGGTAGAAGTTAGTACGGGTAGTGATTAGGTGAGAAGTTTATATACCTGTGGGTGTTTGTTGGGGCTTTGAAGTAATACTATTATAGTAAATTTCCTTTCTAGCTTGGATTCCGCCAGATGTAGGTGATGTTGCACCAAACTAGGTTAATAATTGACTGTGTTATTGTTTACATTCAAGCTCTTATTTTTTTTGCATAAGTCTTGGTTGTTGTCTTGATCTCGGTGTCCTGACATCTGTCTTGACATCTGGTATCTGTGTGCCAAAATTACAATTGGCATCAGAGCAGGTCACTCTATTTTGTTTTAGGTAAGTTCCAGGAAGATATCCTTTCTGACATAATGGATAAGAAAGTAGGAGAGAATGTGAGCATGGTGGCCTTCTTAAAATCCATGGATAGCAAAGCTTGGAAAGCTATCATCAAGGTATGGAAACACCTTGTGGTTGAAGATGGAGATGGGAGGAAAAATCTAAAACCTGAGACTTCTCTTGGAAACTCCAAAGCCTTGAATTCCCTATTCAATGGAGTTGACAAAAAGATATTTAGATTAATAAACACATGCACTGTAGCCAAGGATGCTTGGAAAATTCTCAAGACAACTCACGAAGGTACATCTAAGGTGAAGATGTCTAGGCTTCAGTTTCTCACTACCAAATTTGAAAATCTAAAGAGGATGGAGGATGAGAGTATCCATGCCTTTCACATGAATATTCTTGAAATAGATAATTCCTTTAGTGCCCTAGGAGAAAAAATATCAGAAGAAAAGCTAGTTAGGAAGATTCTCATGTCTCTTCCAATGAGGTTTGATATGAAGGTAACAACCATTGAAGAAGTCCAAAACATCAGCAGCATGAGATTTGATGAACTTGTGGGGTCACGTCAAACTTTTGAATTGACCATTAATGACATAGCTGAATAGAAGAATAAAAGCATAACTTTTGTCTCCAACACTAAAGATGGAGTGGGAGAATGTGATTTGGACACTAATGAAGGTACGCCAAATGCCATTGTTCTACTTGGAAGACAATTCAACTAAGTGCTAAAGAGAATGGAGAGGAAGTCAATGCTCAATGTCTAGAACATCAGTTTTGACACTGGCAGAAATTATGACTCTCAAGAAAAGCAAGAACAGAAGAAAAGTCCAATCAGAATAGAGGGGTTCAATATCATGAATGTGATGGATTTGGACACATTAGAGCATAATGCCCTACCTATCTCAAGAAACAACATAAAGAGCTGACTATTTCTTAGTTTGATGATGAAAGTGAAACTGAGGATGAATCTGCCAAACATGTTACTGCTCTAACTGAAATATGGGCATCTGATGAGGATTCCTCTGATAAAGAAAATTCTTACAATGAACAAAATGATCTAAGGACAACTGTTTCTTATGGACACATCAATCAAAAAAATGATCTCCTACATGTTTGATGTCTAAAGAAGATGAAGTTCAACTGTGGCACCAAAAGCTTAGTCATTTACATCTAAAAGGTATGAAAAAGATTGTGTCAATAGAAGCTATCAGAGGAATTCCCAAGCTCAGTATAGAGGAATGAAGAATTTGTGGTGAGTGTCAAATTGGAAAGTAAACCAAGATGTCCCATCCAAATATCCAACATCTCACTACTTCAAAAGTGTTGGAACTTATTCACGTGGATTTGATGGGTCCTATGCAAGTTGAAAGCCTTAGAGGTAAGAGGTATGCATGTGTAGTGGTTGATGATTTCTCAAGATTCACCTGGGTGCACTTTATAAAGGAAAAATCAGATGTTTTTGAGGAATTATGTCAAAGACTTCAAAGAGAAAAGCAAAGCAAAATTATAAGTGTACACGCCAAATATATTTTAAGTCGGGTTGTGTAGTCGGACAAGGTTAAACATGAACTAGACTGCGATAGCAAGAAAGGCCGAGCAATGCAGAGAGCTAGGCAAGTATCATCCCTAACCTGGGCCGATCAGGGAGCCCTACTTCCATCAGCCGAACTCCTATAAGGCCGAGTACTAACCTCCATCAACCCGGTATTTACACCGGACATGAACTCAACCGGCATACCAACAGTTGTAACGGTGGCGGCGCATCAATGCAGATGTTACCAGTGCTTCAAAGCTTGCATTCATGAAGGGGAATTACATCAATGATGGCCATGTAACGTCAGAAGGCCAAGAGACTCCTCTTAATGGCATATCTTCATGGAAGACTATAAAAGAGGCTCCTACATGAGGGTTAAGCAAGACATATTCATCTTGAGATAATACACAACATAAGTGTAGCTCTCAAATCCCCAAATATCTCTCAAGATATAGACATCATAACTCTTCTTGTCCAGAACAAGGGGAGTTAGCACTTTTGGTGTATCTAACCATTTTTGGCTAGAACATTTGGCACCCACCGTGGGGCCTAGGTAAAACTCTCACAGGCCACACCTTACACTAACAACATGTCCTCTGAAGGAGATCCTCCAGCCATGGCTCAACTACTAGCCATGATGGAGGCCATGCGTCAGTAGAATGAGACGCTGCAAGACATCATACAAGTTCTACAACAACAAAGTCAGACTGACGGTGATCAAGAGGAGGAGGTTCTCGAGCCACTACCTCTTTCCCAAGAGATATGGGACGACCACATCCCAAAAAAATTTAAAGCACCATCCCTAAACTCTTATGATGGGAAGACGGGTCCTTAGAAGCATGTTATTGTCATTAACAATCAGATGGCCATAGTTGCCCCTTCGGATTCACTAAAGTGCTAGCTCATGGTCGGTACCTTTAAGGATGTAGCTCTAAGATGCTACATGAGCCTTCCTCGGCTTTCCATCGTAAGCTACCAAGACTTGACTAAGAAGCTAGTCTAACACTTCTCGGCAAGCAAGCGCTGGAAGGTGTCCACGACCACATTGTTCAGTGTTCGATATAAACAGTCAGAATCACTACTCGGGCTGAGTGCTACATCAAAGGAGAAGAAAGTAACCAAGAGAAGAGAGCCTGAAATAGCAGTGAGAAGACAAATAGCAAGGAAGAGGTGTCAAATAGGAGAAAGGAGCATCCTCAGGGAGCTACGCGTGAGCGATATGCTCCCAGACCATACAGACAATCATATGAGCCGGACAGAGACCTTATCCATTGAATGCAACCAAGGGAGATATCATTAAAGAAGTCGGCCATATGAATTTGTTACCAGAGCCTCATTGTCCCAAAAGAGCCAACACAATCATGGGAAGGCAACCTGAGGCTCGGTATAATTACCATCGTATACGGGGGCACCACACCGAGGACTGTCAACAACTGAGAAAAGAAATTGAAGCTCTAATCTAGAGAGGTTAAAGTTAAAAAGAAAGGAACCCACAAGAGAAGCGGATCCCAAAAATACCCTCAAAGTTCACCTGGTTGAAATAGACTCGTGTGATGATTTAGTTGAAGACAACATAGTTCCAAACAAAGAGACAAATCAAGTCTAGGTTGGGCACCTACCGTCTCATGTTACACACATCGGGGTCAACTTGTCCC